ATCTTAGTTCGGTGTCCATGGTGGCCGTGGCGGCGAGATCGACTCGGACGAGCACGCGGCGGCGGATGGCGCGGCGGCGAAAGCTTCAGCGCGGCGCGCGCAGAGCGCAATGGCCTCCTGGTCGTCGAGCTTGGACCCTTGCACCCCATCGCGGCGTGCGTGCTGCCGCCGTGGCTGGCGGCTTTGTGACGCTGCTGCGCGGCGGCGGCGGGCAACGAGGGCGTGTTCTGCCCGAGCTTGTCGGCGGCGGCACTGTCTCCGTCGCCGGTGTGCTCCGTGGCCAGTCGCCGATAGCCACGCAGCACAAAAGCGCTCTTGTGCGGACGGAAGGTGACGGAGCCGCCATGGCGCTCTTGGCGTCTGGCGGAGCTATCTTAGCGTCTTGTGACGCGCGCGTGGCGGTTTCTCGCCTTGGTGAGCGCAAGGTGGTGGCGCAATGGCCGGAGTTCTGCGCGAGACCACCGTGCGTGTGCGGGAGGTGTGCCTCTGGCGCCGACATCGCAGCCCGCCATCCCCGCGCGCAGCGTGTCGTGTCCGAGGCACGGCGGCCCGGTGCACACGACGCCAGCGCAACAAGACCTCTGCTGCGCTAAGCTCGTCTTTGAGCTCCGTCGACGCGGCCGGGGACTAGTCTTGTCTCTGGCGCCTCCCCGCGCGACCTCCCCCACGCCGTCTCCGCGACCACCTCGTGCTCGCGCCGCTCCCCCTTTTTTTCCACCTCGTGCTCGCGTCTTGGCGAATTAAATGGCGGCGCCCGTGGCAAGCAGCGGACACAATGGACCACGCCACCTCGGCGTCGGACGGCATGGAATCGAGATGGACCGAGCCGGAGCAAATCCCTAGCCCCGCCATTGCCGCTGCTACTCCCGCTGGTGCCCGCGGCCTCCTGGTGGCTACCGGTGGGCTGGAGCGGCGCAGGGCGTGGCATGCGCGTCGCGGAGGAGCGGTTCGCTGTGCTAGTTGATGTGCTCGCCGAGGTGCTTGCCGTACTCGTTGGGGTGCCCGCCGAGGTGCTCGCCGTGATCGTTGGGGGTGCCCGCTGAGTAGCGCCCGCCCTGCCGCGCGCAGAGAGAGGAGGCATCGGGGGATGGAGAGGGTGCCATGAGGATGGAGAGGGAGGGGTTGAGTCGATGACGCGTGGGCCCCACATGTCATTGAGATGGTCAAAACAGCTCCACGTTGGACAAAACAGCCTCATCCGGGCAATGGTACTAAAAGTGAACGGTTTTGATAGTTGAGGTACTAGCATTAGACGGTTTTATAGTTGAGAGTCAAAATTAGACGAAATCAATAGTTGAGGGGTCAAAAATGGACTTAATCCTTCAAACAAATTGAAGAACTCAACCACAATCACCCATACCATTTTCAATTCATTTCACCCTAGTGAGGAAACAGAAATGAGGAAATGTCCGCATGTGCTCGGTTGGTGCAAATTCTTGTTAAGCCAGAAGTAAGCAGCAAGGAATTTCCAAAGGGGAATGACGAGAGTTGAAACTACAGGCGCCGTTCTTCAGCAACAGCACCACTGAGCCTCCAGCAATACGTGCAGGTCAACGTCGAACACGTTTGCCGTTCATCCCTACGACTGCTTCTGCTTGAGGACATTTCCACGAACAGGCCGTGGGCACTGGGCACTGGGCACGATCGACCGCGTTCGTTCCATGCCATGGCACTAGACTAGCACGGGCGTGCCTATTCCCCTATGTCGCACTCGCACACACCGCTCCGGCAGTAATTAAGACCGTCTCAAGGACGCACGCGCGATAGAAGGAACAGAAAGCGATCAGCTGCTCGCTCACCTTTGCTTGACAGGAGCAGTAGTCGGCCTTGAATCTTGATTCAACGCTCGCGGAGCCAGCGCCTGTTGCTGTCCCTGTCTACCATCGCCGGCGAAGAGGAAGAGTTGCTGGTGCTGGAGCCAGGAGGGAATCGCTGCCCACCATCGCTGGCGAAGAGGAAGAAGAGCTGCTGGAGCCAGGAGGGTCGGCCGGCCTCCAGCAGTCCGGCCTCCGCTGTCCGCTCCACGTGACGAGGAGGCTCTAGGTGGTGCGTCTCAGTCCAGTGGAGTCTGGCCCACTAGCTCTGTCCGGCCTACTCAGGCAGCTTCCTAACTTGAAGGAGAATTTTTATATTTTAATCTTTTTTATTCAATATTTTAATAATAATCACGTCAAATTTTTTTTTACAGATTTAACCTTTTTATAAAAAGTATTATTTCCTCAAGCATTTAACCTCAAATGTAAAACTTCAAAACTATGAAGTTGTAGATCTCAATGAGAGCTACAACTTTGATATAAAAAGTATCTTCATTTAACCTTATAAAAAAAGATATTATTTTTCTAGTGCGCCAAGCGTTAGTATGCGATTATTATGCTGCTGAAATTTTGTATTATCTTTTTTAGCATCTTAACGTCCTCAAATGAAAAAACTCAAAACTAGAAAGTTGTTGATCTCATCGAACTCTACAATTTTCATAAAAAATCATCTTCATCCGTCCTCAAATGAAAAAAAAACTCAAAACTAGAAAGTTGTAGATCTCATCGAACTCTACAATTTTCATATAAAAATTATCTTCATCCAACGTCGCATCAAAAATTATGAATTTTCTAATGTTTAGTCTTGTCATGCCATGTCGCGCCAACAGGAGTGGCGCGAAAAGGTTTTCCACGTCGAAAACGCCGTTCAATGTGGCATATCTTGTCGCGTCAACGCATGTGGCGCAATAACGTTATTTGGTCACGCCAGCGGGACTGGGCGACTGGCGTGACCAAAAGTTAGATCAAAAAAAAAATAGACACGATTATTATTGAAATATTTAATAAAAAAGGATTTAAAATATAAAAAAATCCTAACGTGAACAACGGTGATCGAGTTGGCCCAGCCCATGAATAAGACAAAACAGCCCTGACAAGTGATAAATGATAAAACGGCCCAGCCCACCTCAATGGCACCGTACATATTTTTAAGGCCTGTTTGTGACTGAACGAAGAATGCTGAAACCAGCTTCATCTCTTCTTCTGGAGCAGAGCTCATCCAGGTGTCGAGCTGAAAAAGTTAGGAGCAGAGTCTGATTACCAACGTGTCAGTGTACATTCACGAGTTGATAAATCGATGATTCCTCCACAATTAGCAATTTGCACCCTGTTCGCTTCAACTTATCAGCCATAGTACAGTGTTTTTATCTCACAATAAAAAAGCATCAGCCGGTTTATCAGCCGTAGAAACCATCAGCCGAACAGCCCGTTGGCATCACGTCTTTGTCATCTCCATTGCAACTGGTTCCATCATTCATGCAGACACTCTGTTGACTCAACACAAAGCTCAGAAGCCAGAGCTGACGGTGATGATCCGAGGCTAGGCGCAGACTCGTGCGCCAAGCATGACTTCAAAGTTCAAAAACGGCTCCATGCCGTGCCTCACGCATGACGGCATGAGACTTCCAATTGCTCCTAACACCCAACATTGCTTGCCTTGGGTTGGGGGTCTATCTGTCTTCCTTGCACCAACTACAAGTCTACAACTAGATGGCTAAATTCATGGAAAACTTCTGCTCGCTCATGGACTCTACAGCACCGATCATAACGATGGCCAGCGCCAGCATTGCGGAGGAGGTGGGCCGGCTGCAAATTTACATACACGTCAATGGTGCCGTCAGTCCGTCACCAAGGTAAAAGACATCCTATAGCCACACCAGCAGCCCTCTCATGCGTCGGCCCGCTCAAGAAGGCCAATGGATCAGGTATTCAGGTGCCCTTGAAGGCGACCCCAGGACTGTCCGTCCACCTCCGGCAGCGGCGGTGGAGCCAGCACCAGCAGAACTGAAGCCGGAGAGAAAGCAGGGCGGCGGGCCGGCCTTGACAGATCTCTCTTGCCAGGCATGGTCAATCAAACAGAGAAAATACTGTAACTGTGACTAGAGACTGTCATACTGGTAGTGGTAGTGAACACGATTTATGAAACTATCATCAGACATACACATACAAACAAGATTTCAAACACTGAAACTGAAACAGGTTTACACGGAGCCACACCTCGCACAGGGGACTTCATTTGCCATAAGAAATCGTAGATGTTCAAAATGGCAGCAGCGTCTTCTATTGGTATCTGGTAGATGAGCTCATATTATTAACTAGTATAGAGAATAAAATGGGCAATTCTTTCTAATAAGAAAGAAAATTGCTCTCCAGCATATGTACGGAACCCAGAAACATATGGCAAAATGCATATGGTAAATAAGGCCTTTCTCATTTTGTACAACCTTCAGGTGTCACCAGAATCTGTAAAACAAGCATTGGATACTAACACCCATATGGCCATATACTGCAGATAAGAGTTTCAGTGTTGCCAGTAGGCAGTAACTAAGAAAAAAGCTGTGAAAACTGGGATTCACCTCTCGAATCCCAATCTAGAGACGATTTTCATCCTTGGTGGTATCCAGTTTTCCAGCCAAGCCACCACCGACCGGCGCACAGGGGAGGCCATGGGACTCAAGTGCCTGTTCACTGTGCTCAGGTCGCTGTGTCCACAGAGCAGGTGAGGAAAAAAAATTTCATGTCTATTCTCTCAAACCAAACAAAAAATATGCATGCCCACAGAACTGAAACTAAATGAATTTCAAGGAATCTGATTCAAAATAAGAGAGTAACAAAACAAAATGATCATAAACAGATAAGTTCAACTTTAAGTAGTTAAAAAGTGGGTCTCATCTCATCTTACTATATTATAAGTGATGCCAGAAAGTCACAACAAACATTAAGTTGCTTAATCTAGTCAGCATCTGGTAACTTGAAAGAAAATCAAGTCATTATAAAAATGCGGAATCACAAGAACACCATAATCCCCAATGTTTCACATCACAAGTTGCATGTGAAAATTACTGAAGCTCTGAATGTGCATGGTGAGCAAGTCAGTGATATATACACAAAATAACTGAGAAATGAGTGCAAGATAGCCATCAAGAATAGCACAGGAACTTACTGCCCTATACACACCTACAGCCATCACTTCTCCCTTTGATACCAAGGAAATCTCCCAAACGGACTTGGCCTCACAACGGCTGGCTGAGCTGAAACATCGGCTAGTGAGTGCCTTATAGGCCTGAGTCCGTCCTCCACAACCTGAAGATCTGTTTGTGTGATGGTTTGCTCAGCTTGCCCATGGACTGCCTCTCCCTGGGGCTGATGTCCAGCTGCATCGAACTGGTGGTGGTTGTCTGCATCAACATCGACCACAATCTCTGGCTGAAGTGGCTCAAATGGTGCAGCTACTGCAGGTGCTGGGGGACAACTAAATCTGTTCTTACGTTTTTGCTTGTAGGAATAGGAAGGCCTGGGCTTGTATGAGTTGTGCCTGGATTCTCTAGGCCCGTCATATTCAAAAGCGCTCATAATCATCCCCATGATATATGGCGCATAAAACAGCAGGTCCTTAGTGCCATTGCGACCTGAAATAATCAAATCTATCTCACCGAAGAGCAAAGCAATGATGTCAAATGGATGCTGCTTCACAATATGATATAAGAGGTTCCAGTTATGTCCATCAATATTATTTCCAGACCTGGGATATATGGTCGACCAGACAATCTTTTTGGCTATGATTGTCAAAGGAGAGAGACCACTGATTTGGCCAGGTGTGCAATCTGCAGTTGTGTACAGGATCCTTTTGTCATCATCATCAAGCCAAAACTGCGAGTGAATCTCAGTATGAACACCGCCAGGAATGCCAAACATTTCCTCCCATGCTCTCTTGTTGGTAGTGATCTTTGTGCCATTTGCCATCCAAGTTATGGAGCTCTTGTCCGTGCTGATATGAACCGTAGAGTAAAATTGTCTAATTAGTTCAGCGTCCCAAGCACAGGGATAACTCATGATCTGCTCAAGCCCCAGAAAGGCACATCGCTCCCTGATACCAGCAAACTGATTTATGCTACGAATATGCTCCCAGTCAATCCACTTCATTTCAAATATCTTAGCATTCTCATACATGGAGGTGTACAAGTCCTGCTGCTCAATGGACCAGAATCTCCTGTCTGTCGCTGTCCTCTGCCCCTCATAGTGGTTAATACTTCTGAGCCTCTTAAGCTCATCAGAAGGAGCCAGAGCATAGTTAAAGGGCTTTCGGTCCTGCACTGGAGCAACTGGAGGCAACTCCTTCTCCTCCACAACCTCTATTATTGGCTTTAAGGCTTGAGGTGGCACTTGCTCCCCTGACTCAGACTCTGAGGGTGCATGATCACTGTCTGCGCCATTACTGTAAAACTCAGGCTGCTCAGTTGGGCTGCGGTGCTCAAACTGTGAGCTCTCTGGCTGGTATTCCTCATGTGATAAATGCGGCTGCGACATCTCCCCCTCTAACTGCTCAGCCACCTGCATGAATGGAAACATATAATATGCACATAGTGGAACATGTGAGATATTAACATACCCTGCACCCAAAGAAATGGGTGAAAAAGAAAAACACTCACAAAGAAGAATACCAGACAGATATTTTTGGTAAATTATTTATAAACAGCATTAAAAATTCTATGAGATCAATGAACTAACAACTATAAAAATGAACAATGTGCCCATTAGATGAGGCAAAAGATAATTTCATAGATGATAGAAGATTATTTGCACCTAACTATCAAGGAAACACAACTTCGAGGATCAGTTATGTGGAACTAAAACTACTTCTGCCCTAAGTTTCACAGGCCTACAACCATGCAGAATGTTGTAGGTATGTGAAACTGAGAGCAGAAATAGTTGTGGTTTTGTGAAACTAATCCCAGGAGGTATAACTCCTTGATAATTAGATGCAAACAGTTTCCGTTTTGTGATGAACATGTTGCAAAGCACCACTATCACCAATAATAATAACGGAAGTCACAATGATAAAAAAAAATACAAGCATGTTAACTCATAGATGGTTAGAAAAATATGTCATTACCACTGATTCCTTATCAGAAACCTCCTTTCGACATATTCTCCGACTCTCTTCTGAACACAGCAGCTCATTATTTCTATAACTTAGGACCCTGAGAGAGAGAGTGTGTGTGAGTGATAAAATGTTGCCTCACAGCTGTAAACATAGATGCATGTTAGCAAAATTCATGACCATGCAAACCTGGTTGAGTCAGCTAGATCAGCCATTCCATCTTTCAAGGAGCTCTCTGCTTTCCCAGAGGATCGCGCAACTAGCGATTGTTGTCGGAGATTATGCAGCTCCACTTCTAGTTTTTCTCGCTGCCTTCTTTGTTGCTGTGCTGCTTCTTCGAATTTCTTAGCCTATGGAGAAATGGCAAAATTCATTGTTGAGAAAGAGCGATAAATGACTAGTTAACACTAATAAAACAAAAGCAGTGGCAAACTCACTTCCTCTTCCAATAAATACATAGTATCCTTGAAGTCCTCAATAGACCTCTCCAGCACTTCATTCTTTTTCAATATTTCATTCTTCTCTTCAGCATGTGTCTTCCTCATCTGAAAAGTAATAATAATAATAAGTACAAAGGTTATAAGCAGTATTAGGGAAACATCATAAGCCAGCAACCAAGTAGGTTCTACTGTGAATATCCTAAATTACAATGCAGCTGAGAAACAAGATAGTTTGTTGTTCAATGAAATCAAACAAATATTTGAAAAGACAAAAGTTTCAATAAAGTAAGCCTAATAGCCTTTCAAGGGTTACCTCTTTATTCCTTGAAATAAGTGATGCAGCAACCTGATAATTCATTTCTTGCATCCTTATCTCCAGTTCTTTAAGTCTACCTTCATAGTAACTCTTTGACTGCTCTTGTTGTGACTCCAACAATGAAGCATAGTTTTGTGCAAGAATCTCCTTCTGCACAATCGTTTCAATGGCTTCATCCAATAAAAGCTCAATTTCACCAAGGTTTTGTTTGGCCAACAACTCATTATTCTTACTGGCTTCTAGCTGCAGCTGGATTGATGACTGCTCTGTTGCTAAGTATGCAATCAGCTCAGTTTGAACCTCAACCTGCCTAGCGACATTCTTTTCTTGCTCAGCAGAACTGCAAGATACATGATCTTGTTGGTACTTCCTATTGAAGTTTGCTTTCTCAAGCTCACTGTTTAGTCTCTGGATTTCCATATCCCTCTCCAGGAGAAGCTCTAGGCTTTTGTCATTAGCCTTCTTCAGCTTATTTGATTCTTGTATCAAATCAAACAGATTAGATTCAAGAGTTTCTCTTGTGTTATTCAGTTCCTCTTGTATGGCTTCTTTCTGCCTGCAAGCTTCAAGGATACGAGAATTTGCTGCTTTCAGCTCATCGCCTAAAGCAGCTGTCCTGTCCTCAACTTTCGCACGGGGTTTCAATTCTTCCACGAGAATGGTTTTAAGTATGTCCCATTCCAGCTCCAGGCTTAACTTACTTTCTGCATTCCTCATGAAACCTTCATCAGAACAGGCTTCTAGATTTGCAGGTGTAACAGGGACATATTTGGACAAAGAATTCTGTCGATAAAATCAAATAGCATAATGTTAGCATATTTCTCATAGCAAAAACTTAACAGATGCAATATGGAGGTGCGATTTGCAGGGATAGTAATGGAAGCCAAAGCCTATATGAGTTTTGCTGTTTTTTATATAGCTATTCTACGGTGTTGTAGGGTTAAGTTATGCAGTCTTTCAAAGAGTGTTAGAGGTCATATATGAGTTGAAAACTGCAATGGACAACCTCAATTTAATTTTAGAAAGAAAAAAAATAGGACAGGGATCAGTATATGTATTTGACCTGTACCTTGTAGTTCACCTCCCCCTCCCAGAACGAGATGCTCTCATTGACCCTGAAAGGTGGCACATCCGCAGACCTCGCCCCCAAGCTCAACGAAGGCTTCTTCGTCAGCTCAAGGGAAGTCCTCGCCACCCTCAGCCGCGCCGGTGTGTTGCCTGCCGTCCTAACCCCAGAAACCTTCTTGGGCGTCGGCGCTGGCAACTGGGGTTTCCGGTTGTACATGGACGAGGACGACGCCAATGGCGGCCGTATGGCGCTGGAGTGAAAGGGGTGCCGGGAGACGGCGCCGGGCCCCGTGGGGCCCCATGTGAACGGCGCGGCGTTGAATCCATCCGGCGGCGCATTCTCATCGCCACGGGCTGCGGCGGGATAAGGGCCCGCCGAGTAGCGGCGTTGAGGGCCGAGCCCCCTCACCATTCTGGTTCTGGGCAACAAACAGGAAAAATCTTATTCTCGAAAAAACAAAAAAAAACAAAGAAGAAAATATTCAAAGCTCCGAAACTAGTACCACGCTTTGAATCAAAGCTAGCATTCTCCCGCAATTGGCTTCCAAAGGAATCACGGGGAGAAGAAGTTTCGTGTTTGGCATACCTAGTTCTAGGGAGAAGAACCAAGGAGAACGGCCACACACACCGGCAGCTGGTGCGGCACGGCGTCCCTGCTCAGGCTCCGGCGAAGAGGAGAAAGAGGTTGCGCCGTCCTTGCTCGGGCTCCAGTGAAGAGGAGGAAGAGGGGGCGCCGGCGCCGGCGCCGCCGACCCCTCGCACCGATCCTGGCCGGCCGGAGGGGCGCGGGCTGCCTGCTCGCTTCGACTCGCCGCGAAGAGGAACAGAGGAAGGGGCGTGCCGTGCCGGTGAGGAGGAGGAAGTGCCTCCCTACTCTCCTCGGGAGCCGACGACGAGGACGAGGCGCGGGCGCGGCGACCTCCCCCTGCCTGGAATGGATCTTGGCCCCTCTCCCAGATATCGCTCGGCCGACGAGGAGGAGGAGGAGGCAGGGGCGATGGTCGACGTCTCGACGAAGAGGAGGCAGTGGAGGGGGCGACGGCCAGACGGGGTGGGAGGAGGGCGAGGTAGGGGTCGTGCGGTGGCGTGGGCGGAGGGAGGGAGAAGCTGCTGCGGTGATTTTTTTTGAAACAAGCCCCTTCCTTCGCTTCGACGCCAGGCCAGTTTGGGTTGGGGTCTGGCCGTTTGGGAAGCTCCTGCGCTCTGCTACTGTTCCCGTGAGGTCACTTACCTTGATTGCCCTCGCGATGCGGGCCGCGGGAATCCTTCTTCGACCGTTGGACGGCGCAATCTTCCTCCAACAAAGACCAAATTTCAAATACACTCCCTCCGTGTAAAAAAAAATAGGAGTCTCGCTCTTCACGATTAGTCTGCCAATTTCAATGGTATCTTCGAATTGATTTATTATTAAAAACATATTCTATACTTAATCTAGTAAGTATATTCTATGATTAATCTAGTAAACATATTCTATACTTAATCTAGTAAGTATATTCTATGATTAATCTAGTAATAATACTTAGTGCATATCATAAAACATTACTACTCTTTTCGTGTATATGTGTTTAAACTTGAGATTCTTCAACCCTTGGAAAATGAGATTTTCGTTCCTTTTAGGGAACGGCTAAAAACACTTGAGAAAACCATTACAAAACGTATGCAACATCCAGATAGCAACACTCAAAATAAATAAACACACTTGCAACATGATTCTGAAAAACAGATGAAACATTTGGAACATGCGTGTATGATCATTGCAACATATGAACACATATACAACATCTCAATCTACTTTTGTAACATCGATGTGAAACACTTGCAACACACGACTGAAACATCTGAAACACTTGAAACATACGGTTGCATCATGCGCTTTCAGCGCAATATCACCAGGCTGCTTGGATGAATGGAGGCCTCGTTGTTGCGGAGCTCGCGGTGGCGACGCATAGAGCTCACCGGTGACCCAGCGGAGGCCCTACGCCACCCTGGGCGAGCACGGTGGCCTGGGAGAGCACGTGTGCGAGGCCGCGACAGGCGAGCCCAGCGGCCTGCTCAACGAGCACCCCCTCCCGCGCGAGCACCCCTGGCTGGCGAGCACCGCTGGGTAGAGAGATTTTTTAAAGGGGCGTGGATGGGAGCCAGCGGATGGCGCCCTAGTGAGTGGGAAGCCACGTCCGTCCTCGATAGAGCACTGTCGTTTCGTGTATATATGTTCAAACTTGAGATTCTTTTAACTCCTCGGAAACTAAGATTTTCATTCTTTTTGTAGCACGAAGGGAGTACCACCTCGTATAGGTTCGTGTACTCCCTCATTTCAAAAATAATTGCACATCGCAATTCTAGAGCTAAGTATATAAACTCGTGTTTGGATTTTTCATGATTTTTTTTTCTTTTTTCCATGTTCAAGTAATAAATATGAGAATAGAATTAGAAAGATGAATAAAAATATAATAACGAATATATATACATATACACCTTATTAATATTTAAAAAGTCAAAATTTCTGTCGAAGTAATTTTCTTCTACCTCTTCTATCCAACTCGGTTTGTTACCCACGTCACCTGACTCCATCGTGTTTCACCGGTTTTTTCAGACAGTCCACAGTTCCTTCTGCTTTTTCTTCGTCTCGGTTTTTCCCGAGCCTACCCGTATGTCCATCTCGTTGGCCTCGCGTGTTTCGCCAGCAGCACACCCCCCACCCGCCTTCGCAACGCGCTCCTCAAAGTCTGTTGTGTCAGTCCTGCGCACCGCACCATGCCCGCGCCTTGTCGGCTTCGTGCCCTCACCATGCCGCTCAACTGCGGGGGTTCCGGGCCATACCAGCTATGCATGCGCCGAGAGGCCTAGACTCTCTGGCCCCGCCGGCCGCACGCGCCCCGTACAATGCAGAACCACCCGTGGCCTGTTCATGGCTATTCTGGTGAGGATGGACGACTAACCCATATGTTTGTAAGATGCTTTAAGGGTACCAATACATATTGTCGTCGAGGGTGTCGATATATATTATCGTTGATGGATTTAAAGATGAGAGAACCGCGAGTGTGAGGAAGGTGTTAACAATTTAAGAGTGAAAATAACTACCCGTTGCAACACACGGTCACATTTGTAGTAGTTATATTTCTAAAAGTTATTATAAAATATATCCCATCATCATTTTTATGATACTTGTTACATATCATAAATATTATTATTTTTATCTATATTTGGTTAAATTTTAAAATGTTTGACTACAAGGAGTAAAGTGTGGAGTTATTTTAGAACTGAGGGAGTAATTACTAAAGTACTGCTCGTCCAAATTGTTGAAGATTGGGTGGCCACCTATTTTATATTCCAATATAATGACAATCATAATCCTAACTATTGATAGTTTCCATAACTACTACTAAGAAACTATTTTTGAAACTATATCACCTAAGACAATAGTATCTTAGTAGATATATGCCCATGCGTTGCACGGGGTAATGAACTTGTATCCATCTGTATAATGATGCATGTGTCTTATGGTTTAGACGAACATATTAACAAATTTTTATCCATGTCTACGACGATGCACATGGCTTGTATTTTCGACGAACATATTAAAAAATATACAAATTTGATTACATAAAGCATATTTTATGATCTTTATGACATATATCGTGTAGATTTGGTTTATAGAAACCTAATAAAATTGGTTTCGTTTTTTAATAATTATTTGTGTGTTTTCTTATTTTACATTTTCAAAATTTAATAAATACTTTTGCTTTTGGACCCGTAAACTTTTTCTAAATGCTCCAGGTTTTCCTTCTTCCATGTGGACGTGGTAAACTAATGGGCCACGTTGTTACGTGCGGGCATCAAGCGAATCACCACACAACGGACTCGTCTGATTACGTGGGGCCAGGAGGTCCGTCCGTTCGTCCCCACACGGCGTCGTTCGCTTCGTTCGCTCCTTGAAGAGCAAGCGGGTGCTGACGTTGCGCCACGCACGCACGCGAAGGCGAAGGGGCGTGAAGCAGCGTGGTACACGCGCGCGCGGCATGCTGTGATGGGCAAGCGGGCGGCGTTTTGCAGTGCTGCCGTCGCCGGGCACAGGCCGGAGCTAAGGCGCGCAAGCGAAGCGAAGCACACGACGAGCACGTCGCAGAGCGCGGCGAGCGCGGCGGCCGCCGCCAACATATACCGGCATCGCATCGCTCGCGTCCATGGCAAGATGCGTGCTCCCACGTCTGCCGGGAGTACGCACGACAATAGGTCGCGGTTGCCCGTCGCCGCCGACGCAGGCTAGAGATAGGGCGCGCGGGGGGGGGGCATGATTTGTTTGCAGGGAGGTGGGGCTCGACGAGGACCCATGCGGCGTGGGGCGAAGCGGTAGCGTGCGGGGTTCACGTTCCGGACTCGCCATTAAGCTGTGGCGAAGCAAATAATACTTGGTATTCGGGCGACGCGGACTCTCGGACAGGGACCCACGCGGGCGGGGTGACGCGGGAGCCACAGATGAAGCTAGGCGAAGTGAATTATCTTGGTGTCCGATGATGACATTAGGTTTTTTTAAGTGTAGAGATATAGAGATAGAGAATAATAATTAGATTAGATTTGCAGTCGTAGAACATATTTTATATGAGTAGTGTGCCACGTTTGTATTTTTATCTTAGCGTGGCGACGCTGTGCACGTACCGGACCCGTACTCGTGATTGGTTATCTTCCACACGTATTAGCCGGGCAGAGCAGGGGCAAAAGCATTAAGAGCTGGGGGACCCATGCGGCAGAAGGGCAGAGCGACTGGTACATCCGACGATAACATTACTAATTTTTATAATACAGCATGCCCGTGAGTTGCTACGTAGCAACTAAATCTTTTGTACTAAAAATATATGGATGACACAATAAGATAACAATACTGTTAAATTAAATACCAACATCAAAGTGACATTTAATTCAAAAAGTAAAGTTCGTGAAATTAACACAGTCACGGAGAGCGCGACGTCGCAGGCTCACAAACTCTACTGTATAGACTTTTTTGTGATACGGCTAAGATAATATTTTATATCGGCAAAAAGAATTCTACGATATCCATTTCTTTCATGCACCAATAAATCCATGATTAAGTTATGCTGCATTTTCATATAATCATGTACACACAGGTTCGAGTATATATGAAATAGGTTCGTGTCCGTACGTTGCTACGGGACAGCTAAACTTTCGTACTAAAAATACACGGATCGCACGATAAGATAATAATACTGTAAAAGTATATGACCGACGTTAAAGTGACATTTAATCAAAAAAGTTAAGTTCGTGAAATTTATATAGTCACAGAGAGCGTGGTGTCGCAGGCTTACAAACTCTACTGTGTAGATCTTTCCGTGGTGCGGCTAAGATCATTTTTTATATCGGCAGAAAGAGATTTCCGATATCCATTTCTTTCGTGCG